TGATGTTTTTTGCAAACGACCCCTGAAGTTTTATATCTTGTTCTAAAAAACAAACTCGACCGTAAACAAACTCCTTCTCTTAAATTTAAACCGTGTCTAAATAATTTTACTTTTATCATATCTTTATATCAGATTACTTGATGACATGCTATACATTTTTTATCAAAAAATAAATAATAAGCCTACAACAAAAATTACATTATACATATTACAAAATATTATGTGTGGGGCTTTAATTCATATTTGCTCAACAATAAAAATAATTTAAAAAAATATATATTTTGATCGAAAATAATAAATAATTTTTATGAAGCATAGTCTTCAAAACAACGGATTTGTGTCAATTTCACCCAGATAACTTGTCTAAATAGGGAAAACCACAATGATGATTATGTTTCTGCCGTAAATGGGAGTTGCCAGTCTGACCTTAATTAGCCTAAATTAATGGTTGAAGCATTAAGCTGTAATTTTGATACTGTAATGTTAATGTTCAAGTGCGAAGAAGAGTCAAGAGTGATAATAAATTAAAAAAATAAAAATAATGGTTGAGAAGCGTAGTTATATTGCTTTCAACTCAACTGCCACAGTTAAGCTGATTTTAAGTCCAGTGAGCATGTCAGTTGAAGCTGTCGAAAATTTCATTAAGTGAGAGATTTCATTTGTTTTGTTTGTGTTGAATCAAGAATATCAAGGTTTTGAATGTGACATAACTTAAGAATGAAATGACAATGATTTCCTACAACCCGCAATTTTTTCACTGACTTCTGTTTCTATTTAGACTCAAGTGCAATTACTCGCCTTTTATTAAGTTTCTGTTTTTTTGTGCATTTTTTTAGCTTTGTTGTAATTTAATTTCCATTGGTGTGATTTTTCGCACAATAGTTTTTTTTTTTTTTGGGTTGCTGTAGACAGTTTTAGCTTTTGTTTATTTACTTGTTTTCATTTCATTGCACTTTCCGCACTTCGTGTGGCAATATCTTGCATTACATGAGTGTTTGACTTTGTGCTTGTTGTTGTTGTTTGTTGCATGTTGCAAACAGATTTTACGCTATTTTTATCGAGATCACAGCAAAAATGATGTATAGATAATAAAATGAGCGAATAAATGAAAACAAAAGCAAAAAAAAAAAACAAAAATACACAAACACATACAGCAGACGGGTAAATTTGTTCAAAAAGATATTGCAACAACAATAATAAACATCAATATGTAAGTATTTGACTTGAAATTAATGTGCACCGCGAATGATTAAAATTATTTTTGAAATCTACGTCAACTTCTAAACATAGAAGGGCACAAAGTGCTTTGAATTGCGATAAACATAATTTCGAAATATCAACAAAAAAAAAAAAACAAATAATTTAAAAATGTTGAGGATTGTGTGATGAGACATAAGCATTGTGTAATCACTAATTTTAGCAAATATGAGTTTGCCATAAGATTAATAAAAAATA